TTGTCGTCTGCGCCGGTGGGTATAGCCCTGATCAGCCGAGGTTCAAGAGGTCCCCGTGGATGATCTCTGGATCCAGCCAGCAGCTGCGGGGAACGACACCCTCTGCCCTGCAACGAACCCAGCCTGTGTGAGGTGTGGGATGGTTCCTCCCCACATTGTCCTCACTGTGGCAGCAGCCCCCGTGGTGGCACCGCACCTTCGCACAGGGGCAGCCGCTGCCCCGACTCCAGCACCGCTTCCAGGGGTGATGCCAGAGGGTCCTGGGGACACTCGATCACTTCGATCCCCATCTCTTCTCTGGTGATGGTGAACTTCAGTTTGTTGCCCAAGTAGGAGACACCGGTGACATTCAGTTTGTGGATGTCATCAGGAAAGGCCGGGTTGAAGCGGAGGCTGGACCTCGTGATCCTGGAAAGGCAGCGGCACCTTGGTGGTGGGAACAAAGGGTGGCCACGAGGGAAAGCAGCTCTGGGGGGTAGGGCTGTGACTCCACAGGAAGGGCTCACCCAGACGTTTTCATACTCAAAGAGTTCCACAGAATCACGGAATGGTTTGTGTTGGAAAGGACCTTAAAGTTCCTCCAGCTCCAACCCCTGCCCCGGGCAGGGACACCTTCCACTAGAGCAGGTTGCTCCAAGCCCCTGTGTCCAACCTGGCCTTGAACACTGCCAGGGATGGGGCAGCCACAGCTTCTCTGGGCACCCTGTGCCAGCACCTCAGCACCCTCCCAGGGAAGAGCTTCTGCCTTATCTCTAATCTAAACCTCTCCTGTTTCAGTTTGAATCCATCAAGCTGCGTCCTATTGCTACAGTCCCTGATGAAGAGTCCCTCTCTAGGTTTCTTGTAACCCCCTTCACATACTGGAGTACCAGTATTTGGATACCCCTTCAGATATGTCCCTTGTGGTGTCCCTTCACATGCTGGAGAATTCAGTTCTTGGTGTATCCCAAGGATCTCTGGGCAAATCCTGAGCACACCAATGAAGCACCTGGTGAAGAGCTATTTGGGCTGTGTTCCCATGGCCCAGCACCCTCAAGTGTTCCTGTCCCAGTTCCTCACTCGGGCTCTGTGGCTTCCACTCTGTTGGGTGATTTTAATGTAAAAGGAACAGAAAGAGGAAAATGCCATTTTCCATTGCAGAGCAGCCCAGGTCCCTGCTGCAGCCCCTGGGCCGGTCCCAGCAGCAATGCTGGGAAGCTCTGGGAATGCCCTGCTCCAACATGGGGAGCAGGACGGGACACTGGCATGGGCAGAGGTGGCCATGGACCCCGGGCCGGGATTGCCATTGAGCCTGGTCACACTGGAACCAAGCTCCAACCCCGGGAGGAGCTGGGAGGTGGCTGTGGCTGGGACTGTGGGATGCAGGTTCAGCCTCAGCTGAAGCACCCATCACAAGTCCCTGTTCTCACTTGCTGCCATTGCTCTGACAGCTATAGAGCACGGGTGAGGTGGTGGTGGGAGCTCACCCCACGCCTGGCTGAGGTGCTCCTGGATGTGCTCCTCAGCTCCTGAGACACACCTGACCTGAGCTCTGCCCCATCCCGTCATGTGCCATCCCAATGAGGATGCTCCCACAGAGCCCGGTCCTCACCTCCCCTCTGGGTTGTGAGCAGAGTGGGGCCAGCAAAGCAACCCCCAGAAACGCCCCTCAGCTCCACCCCCCTTGGGCTGAGGGGCTCCAAACTCAGCACCGCTATAGGAGCTCCACCACTGAGAGATCAAACCCAAGCAAACAGCTTGAACCCCCTCTCCAAGCCTTTACCCAAAGTCAGATAGAGCCATTCGTGTGTTTTAGATGAGAAGAGGCAGAGGTCACCGTTACGTCCTACTCAAATCTTGACACAAGAGCTCTCAACCACCATCTCCAGTCTGCTGAGAGGGCTCAACGGGCTGGAGAGGACACGAGAGAGGCTCGAGGACTGAAGAGCCTCAGTGGCAGGGCAATGCGCCAGCATGGGGCCATGGCTTCCATCGGGCACGGCACGAACCCAGCCTTGAGGGCTGCTTAAATGTCACCTCAACATCTCTGGACATTTGGGTGGCTTGAGCCGGTGCCGAGGGGCCCAACCCAACCCACACACACAGAGCATCTGCAGCCCCTGGAGCTCTGCAGAAGCTGGGGTGAAGGTTTTCAGCTGGGAACAGGCAGCTCACACCCAGCTCCACCAAGTCACCGATGGGTTCCATCTTCAATTAAACCAAGAACATGCTCCAGAGGCGGGTGCTCCAGGGCTGAAGCCACCGGCTGCTTTGGGCAGGAGACATCGGAAATTACAGGAAGAGCCTCATGTGTTCTCTGAGGAATTTCAATGTCGTGGTGATGCCACATGAGCACTTTCCTCCACAGGGACCTGCAGAGCCTCGTGTGTGCAGATGGGAGATGGCCTCAGAAGGTTGCACCACACCACATCCAAAGGAGACAGGATGATGTTACCGCTAAGCCAGAAGCAGACTTAGGGAATGCCATTTAGCTTCCCAAGCATGCAAGTAACTCATCCAGTGTCCCAGGAAGTCTCTTACCTGTGCAAATCCATTTCCAGTCTTTACAATGGGAATAGGCCTATGGCAGCTCACTGTGGTGGGAGAGGACCAGGGTCTCCATTTACAAGTCCCCTTTGTAAGGGGTGTAGGTATAAGGTATATAAGAAGCGGACTTGGTTTTGCTTGTAAAGTGGTTGTATGGACTTTCTCTTCCATTAGTTAACCAACAGCCACTGCACTTGGTGGATGATAGTCTTGAAGCTTCACCCACACTTAGTGAAGAAGCCAAAGCTACAACCAGCCATGGAGTGGGCAGCTCTGGGTGCATTTTTGATACACAGACATCAACATGATATAGGCTAACTACAACCCTGAGATCATACAGAGATGACCCTCTTCACGGAGGGTCTCAACTAGTGTTGAAGAGCTCAGTGTTGGACAAGCTTTGACTCCTTTTGAAGTCAATGCTTCTTAACATTGATGTAGCTGGAGGAGAAATGGACCAAAGCTTATCATATCCACCCTGATCCCCACCAGTGACTATTCCCGGTATCCACAGGTCATGCAGGATCATCAACATTCCTGTTTGTTCGTTACCTGTTGGGAGCTTTGGAGGATATTCTGGATGCTGCAAGTCCCTTTCCTTTTCATGAGTAAACACACATTGCTCCAGCTCAAAGATGAGGTCTCAAGTACATGTAGCAGCTTAGAAACTAATGTGACACAACAGAGGTCTCACCTGAAGCCTGTGTAGCCGAAAAGGATAGCTTGCAAGAATCCACCCATCCCTGTCAAGAAGTTCACAGCTCCTGACCCATCCGAGTTCTCCACCCAGATCTGCTCCAGCAAGAGAAAGGAAAGACTCGGGACTTGCACTGGGACTCTTCATGGGGTTTGAATACACTGATCATTGTCACTGTCACGTATCTGGGGTGTTGCAATGACCGTGCCCTGCTGCCCACCCTGGCACGGGGTGGTAGGTGGTCTCTGATATGTATCTAAATACCACATCCCCATGCCCTTCCCCAGCTCTGGCAGCAGAAGGAAGTCCAGGGTGATGACACCGGCCCAAGGCTTTGTATTGCCTGGTAGGAAGCTGGTGCCTCCTTACTGCTCCTGGGAAGCACACAGAGAGGAGACCGAGTGTGTAACCACCCAGCTCACTACAGCAATAACCCAGGGACCACACGTGCAGCCAGCACAGGCCTCAGCCCCTGGGCTGTCTCTTGGTGTGATGTGACCCACTTGGGAACAGCAAGACAGAACCAAGCAGTGTCTGTCCTGGGGAAGCCCCCACGACGTGACACACCACCCAGCTCACCTTGAAGGGCTCCGTGATGTTGCTGAAACACTGGTTCAGGAGGGTCTGGGCTCTCTGCGCCTCCTTCAGCTCCAGCCAGCCCACGGCAAACATGCTCTGCAGGATAGAACCACCAGTTGCAACTGGAGGAGCTTCAAGGTCCCTTCAACCCAAACCATGCTGGGACTCTGTGGTTCTATGAACCCCACGTCAGGCTTTGCCCCTCTCCTTACCCAGGTCATGGCTGGTCCATCCAGCTCCGTGACGGGTTCATACATCTCCAGGTCATTTCTCCGGACTTCAGGGCTCATGGGGTGCATCAGTGGGAAGCCGAGCAAGACCACGTCAGCTTGTTTCACTGGCTCGCCTGGGGACGGGCTCGGTCAGGCCACGATTCCAGCCGGGAATAACGGGCAGAACAATGGTCTGTTTACTGACATGGGGAACAAACCCGACACACAGAGACTTGGCACAACAGGCACCACATCAGCAGGGGGAAGGCAGTGGAACTGCAGGAGCACAACTCTGCTGCCTTGCCAAAGGCAGAGCAGAGCAGCAGCCCGTGGTTGCCCTCGGTGCTGTGTTTGCTGGAAGCAGCGTCGAGGCAGGACATGGGCACAGCCCTGACTGGTGGCACCCAGGCTGGTGTCACCCAAACCTCGAGTGCTCCCCGAGGAATAGCTCCCAGGTTTCTCTGCCCCTCACCGGGAGAAAAGGGGCACCAAACTGGGTGTGCATTTCCAGTGGAACCCTTCCAGAGGCCAGGGGTTGCTGGAAGGGTAACACATAGCATGAAGGTAGACCCATCTGCAACGGGTTCATAGCAACCACGTCACCTGCAGCCCTGTGCTAAAAGTCTCTTCCTACCCCTGTGTTCCCAAATTTCCTAATTTTATGAGCCCACTAATGAGAAACAATCCACCGAGAGGCAGAACCCATCCACACACCAGGCTCTCCACGGGGGCAACCCCAAAGCTGCAACCAGGGAGCAACACCAAAGACCGCAGACAATCGCCCAGCTGCGGTTCCCATGCTCGAACCAGTCCCTGCTTCTCGCAGGCTCACAAGGAGGAGCAGCGGGTCGCTCCCGGGGCTGCTGCTGCCCCGCGCTCACCCGGGCTGTAGCCGTCGTACTCGGGATGATATTTCTTCTCCGCATCAAAGGGCACTTTGATGTTCTTGGCGCGGCGCAGCCACTGCTCGGGCACTGGGATCAACAAGTCTCGAGCCAGATCGGCTGCAAAAGTCAAGCTGAACAATGGTGCGTGTCATGGATGAGGGCCTGTGACCCCTCGGAGCAGAGAGGAGAAGAAAGGGAACAGAAAGAACTAATTGAGCCGCGACTGCAAAGAAATAGTTCTCTGAGAGACCGTGGCTTTCATCGCTGGTGTTGGAGTCAGTTCCTCCAGCTTAAGGTGTCTCCAGCTGGCTGATTGTATGGTATCTCATAAACCAGGGAGAGAAGCCCCCTCCTGTGAACTGAAACCCCTCTCATGAGGACACCTAAAGCAGGTCAGATGAAACACCATGGGACCACCTACTTCTGACTGTAAGGGCAGGCAAAGGGGACCAGCTCGGACAGAGGCAGGTGAAGAGGAGGAGGGTGTATTCCATGCAGGACCGCTGCTGCTCCCACCCCTGCCAGGCAGGAAGGAGCAGAGATGGGGCAGCGCTCCCGCAGGGCACGTGCGTTACCTCCGCTGGGCCACAGCGTTGGTGTAGGCAGAGTTGTCAACATGGGAATGGTGCTCATCGGGGGGCATGACACCTGGGGAGAGCAAGGGGACCCTCACACCGAGCTCTGCCACGGCTGCGGGGACCCCACAGTGACCCCGGGGCAATGCTCAGCAGAGGGGAACCTAAGAGGTGCTGGTTGTGAAGAGCTGGTTCACAGCTCTGGCACCTCAGCCTGAGGGCACCTCCCTGGCTCCCCAGGCGAGGTGACCTCCAAGTCATTCATGCAATCAAGCCATTCAGGCTTCCCCTATCCACAAGCTCAGCCCCTTCCTTTGCTGCTTTCCTGCAGCCTGTTCCCAGGAGGAGAGATGGCCCCTTCCCAAGAGGAACATGAAAACAGGCATTTATAGATGTGGCTCTTTTGGGAGCACTGGGGCCGTCTCCAGGGATCTTCACACCTCAGCCAGCCTGCAGCAACACCAGGGGCTCCTTTAGCTCATGGAGACCCCTTTGCTCTAACCCAGCCTTGCTCCTCCAGACCCTCCTCCAACAGACACCTCCCATGCACCACCATGAAAAGAGACATTTAGAGGTGTCCCATGAGTGGGAAGGGGCTGAGAAACTGTAGCTTTGGAAGAGAGCCGAGCATCTCGCCCTGTGTTTGCATGGACACAACCATTATCCCTGAGCTATTCCAGAGGGCAGGAGTCTGAAGCACCTGCGCACCCTGGTCCAGGTCTGGCTGAGGGGGCTCCGAGCCCCTGCCCACAATCCCACCCTACACACGGGTCTGGCAGTGGCAGAAGTACCTCTGATGTGGTAGCACTGCTCCTCCTCGCTCCACACCATCCTGCTGCACCAGTACTGAGCCACAGCACACACCAGCCTCCAGCCCCCAGCCTCCCTGAACAGCTTCTGGTCCTGGAGGAGCCACAGCCAGAGAGAAGCAGGGCTGTGAGGGAGGCTGCCCCACACGCAGCCCGGCAGCAGGACAGGAGCTCCCTGGAGATGGATGCAGCAGGAGGAAAGGGCAGAAAACTGGCCTGGCTTGAGCCAAGAGGATGCTGAGCCACCCATGAGAAGCAAGGACAGAGCAGGCAGGGCTGGAGGAGGGACCCGGAGGTGCCACCAGCATCTCTGATGGGAGCAGAGAACAGCAGAGCTCCTCTGGGAACAGTGACAGTGACCAGCCGCACACTGAGCGGCCGCGGTGCCACACGCTGCCGTTACCTGCGTGGTGTGATAGTACTGCTCAAAGGCCACCAGCACGTCCCCGGTGACGTGGATTTCCTGGGCTCCGTAGATCTCCTCGGGGCAGACTTCCCGGCCAGTGGCTGCGCTCTCCCATGGGAACTTAGCGCCCTGCCAGGAGCAGATCCAGCAGGAGCTAAGCACAGCACCCTGAGCTGGGGCTGGAGCCAAGCTAGGCTGGAGCCAAGCAAAGCCCGACTGTGCCCATGGGGCACTGCCCCCAGCCCAGCACCTCCATCCCATCCCCATGCCCATTCCCACCTCGTAGCCTTGCTCCCGCGCGTTGTGCAGGGCTCCTTCCAGCATGCGGATCCGGTATTCCAGCATGGCTCGGGCAGCCTCGGGATAGAACAGCAGGATGTTTGGGAATATCCAGGTCTCCTGGAAGCAGACGGTGGAGTTGGCTGGTGGGGCACCCAAACGCTCCCACCAGTCTCAACTCCATCCCAAATGCTCTGACTGTGATTTTGATCCTACTTAAAGGTGCCATCCCATGGGCTCATTAAGAGGGATAAATCCACAAAGAACTGCTACTACTCTCTGGTGTCTCATAGGAGGATCTCAGCGGGACCTTCCGTCACAAGGGAGGCTCTGGAGAGGGTCAAACCCAACATATCACCAGGAAGAACGCACACAAGGTCCATGGGAAGCCCCTGGCTCACTGGAAGTGCTGAGAGAGATCAGTTATTCAGCTGAGATGAGTAAAAGTGAAATAGATGGAGTCATTGGGAACGCTGCTGCTGTGGGTTTGGTGGGCTCTTTGCTCAGCTCTA